CCTGTCTTAAAAGTCAAATGCAAAAAGAGGGCTGGTGGACCTCCATGATAGAACACTTATTTAACATGATCAAGACCCTAGCTAATGTTGCTACACTGGGTACTGGGGAGGAACAGACACTCAAATGTAGCTGTGTGGCTTGGGACTTAGTCTGCATTTTGATCAGATCAAACAGACCAAAGCAGGGAAGATAAGAAAGGAGACTGGGCCTTCTTGTGGTTCTGATAATTGGTCATTTTGGCTGCCTCTTTAGGTTCACGGCTTTCTAAAACTGGTTCCAGTCCTTCTGGCCATTGTGCAGCATAAGAAAAAAGAGGAAGAAGACGAACAAGCGATTAACAGACAGACAGCCCTGTACACCCTAAAGCTCCTATGCAAGAACTTTGGAGCAGAGAACCGAGAGCCTTTCATACCAGTTCTGAGTGCTGCAGTGCAGCTGATAGCACCAGAGAAAAAAGAGGAGAAAAATGTCCTGGGAAGCGCCCTGCTATGCATAGCAGAGGTGACCTCCACTTTGGAAGCGCTGGCCATCCCTCAGCTTCCCAGGTACCTTGGAGCAGGAGCCACTACAGCAGTAACGGGGAAATGCCTTTCGGACTTTGTGGCTTCTTGAATAGAAAGTACATGAAAATAAGACTCATGAAAGAATTGATCTTCTCAGTGGAAAGTGCACCATTACCGTGACCTTCAGACACATTGCTTGGTGATGTTCTTCCTTTGTGGCATCAGTGTGCTTGGGGCGCCATGGTGTAACTCCCCATTGAGAAGCATGGCCAGAGCAGCCTTTTGCTGCCACAGCGGGAAGCACCATGCTCTGACTCTGCTGTTGGCTATGACAATAACCAGCTGTGCAGCTATGGCTGGTTACTTATCTTAAAACCCTACCATCTATGATGCTGGGGTATTTCCTCAGGGTTTCTCTTATAGGGCTTGCCATACTTTGTACACAGTCTTGACACCTAGCACATGTTCTGTAATTGAAAAACATTCTTCAGTAGTTACCAGTGTGTCAGCACTGTTGGCACCAAGGATTTCTTGCACAGAGTAGTGTAAAATATGTAGGCAGTATTCGGCATGCTGTGGGTTTCAGTGTTGTAGCAAGCACAGCTGGCTGAGGGCTTTCTTCATGTCCCCAGCTTCCTTCAGTGTGTGTCTGAGGTGCAAAGCTGCTCTAATGCACTGTTCCTTCTTGCCAGTCTGATGCCATCGCTGCTGACAGCCATGAAGAACACCAGTGAGTTGGTCCACAGCGAGGTCTGCCTGCTCAGTGTCCTGGCTGCCCTGCACAAAGTTGTTGAGACTCTCCCACACTTCATCAGCCCCTACCTGGAAGGACTGCTGACCCAGGTAGGCTTTGCTCAACTATGATTTGCTACACAGGGTGGCAAGGGAAACTGTTTTACCCACTCAGTCCTTTTACTGGCTCCTTTTTCATTACTGTGAGACACTATTCTGTTTGTTGAATATGTGTCTTTCTCTCATGGTCCCTTCTGCTTCATCATGGAACTAACAGGCAAGGGTCCTTTTTTTTTTTTAGTAGGGTGACTCTGTTTTTCAGCAGTATAGAATGTATTGCTTTTATTTACCTCAGATCTTTGGGAATGGCAGACAGAGTGCCTACTGTTACTTTCGGAAACCAGTATGCTGTGGTTTTGATGGGAAAGCTTTCTTAACTGTAAGGTATTTCATACAGTGGGCTTCCTCCACTATAGGGTGTCCGTCAGCACACGCTAGGCAAGTGGCATTTTTGATTGAAAATACCCATGAGTGTCAGCCTCGTGTTGACAGGGGTTATTACCATTCTAATGTGTGATCAATTGCCATTTGTAAAGCTGAGTCTTGACTGTCGTTGTGCTAGTGACTTGACATTCACCAACCTGGGGCTCAGCATTGGTGTCTCTCTCTCTCTCTCTCTCTCTCTTTTTTTTTTTTTTTTGTTTTTGTTTTTTTTTGTTTTGTTTTGTTTTTGTTTTTGTTTTTACGAGACAGGGTTTCTCTGTATTGTTTTGGAGGCTGTCGGTCCAGCCCGGCCTCGAACTCACAGAGATCCGCCTGCCTCTGCCTCCCGAGTGCTGGGATTAAAGGCGTGCGCCACCACCGCCCAGCAGAGTTGCTGTCTCTTACAAGGGAGCTGGGCTGCTGGGATCATCCTAAGCTGTTTTTGTCGAGGAAAACATTAGTTGGAGGAAAACCATCATCAGGCCCAGAGCCTTTGTGTGTCTGTGCTCGTTGTTCACCCTCCCAGCTTCCAGTTAGGATGAGCGTCTACGAGTTTTATCTGCAGACAGTCAGTTTGCTCTAAAATCCCATGCTCTGTCACGTGAGCTGACTGCATGCCATCACCCAGCCTTTCTGTGAGAGTGGTTGTCAGCCCAGTCCAGTGCCCTCAGGCACTGTTTTTCATGTTCCTACAGGTGATTCACCTAGAGAAAATCACTAGCGAAATGGGTCCTGCCTCACAAGCTAACATCCGCCTGACATCTCTTAAAAAGACCCTAGCCACTACGCTCTCACCTCGAGTTCTACTGCCAGCCATTAGCAAGACTTTCAAGCAGATCCAGAAGAGCTGGAAGGTGAGGTCATGTTGACTGTTGGACTTTGGAGGGAGAAGGTGGTACTAAAATGTGGGATGTTCCCTTCTGCAATCATGGCATCATTCACCTCCTATGAGGATGTACTAAGCTCTAAGACAAATAAAATTTTATTCTTTGCTGCATTCATGGTAGAATCACATGGGCCCATTTATGAGCATCTTGCAAGAGCACATTGGGGTGATGAAGAAGGAAGAGCTCTTGTCTCACCAATCTGAACTGACAACCTTTTTCCTGGGTGCCCTGGACTTCCGGGCACAGCACTCAGAGGTGAGCTGGTCTCTACTCCCCATGCCCTAAAGCTGTCATCTCCCTGTCTGTGCAAGAGGCAGATAAACATCAGCTCTGCAGCATTTGTCCTTGCCAAAGCATTTAGGCCACGCTGTCTAATTAGTTCCTTCATTTTCAGGATGATCTAGAGGAAGTTGGGAAAACGGAAAGTTGGATCATTGACTGTCTAGTGGCCATGGTGGTGAAGCTCTCAGAGGTCACATTCAGGCCTCTCTTCTTCAAGGTGAGGCTACTTCCCTGCATCTCCTGCTTACTGTAAGTAGTAGGGCAAGTAGATGACATCGCTGTTCTCTCATGGTTGTAGCTGTATGATTGGGCCAAGACACAAGATGCCCCGAAGGACAGGCTGCTGACATTTTACAATCTGACCAACTGCATTGCTGAGAAATTGAAAGGCCTTTTCACTCTGTTTGCTGGCCACTTGGTGAAACCTTTTGCAGACACCTTGAACCAAGTAAACATCTCCAAAACAGGTTGGTAACTCCTTTGGGCCAACCCTGTGTGTCTGACATGGGCAGTTAGCATGAGACGTGGAGCTCAGAAAAGACTTAAATGTCCCTTGGCTTTTCTGCTAAGGATGGTGAAGTTTTACTTTATTGTATTTTCTATTAGAACAAACAGTAGTCAGTTGACACAGAGAAAGAATAAAGTGGAATTATTACTCATTATTGGTAATGACTTTGTAATAGTAAATTTGAGACTGGAGACAGTTCGTTGGTAGAGTGTTTTCCTGATATAGGTGAGATTGTGGGTTCCATCCCTGGGTTTGGATTGGTCTATCCCCAGCTAGTAAGCAGCTGAAGTGACTGAACTTGCCCAACTAAGCATCGCAGTCTTCACTGTGAAGAAGAGCCCCATATCTGAAAGGCCAGTTTGTAGTTCCACCTTTTACAGCTTCTAGGTCATTTCCAGTCTCTTCAGATTGTAATTGTGGCAGTGTTCCTACACACCAGGAACTGAGTCGTGTTTTCCACTTGTACTCTTTCCCTGCATGCAGATGAAGCGTTTTTTGACTCTGAACAGGACCCTGAAAAGTGCTGCTTGTTGTTGCAGTTTATCTTAAACTGCTTGTACAAGATCTTCCTTTTCGACACCCAGAATTTCATGAGCAAAGAGCGAGCAGAAGCCTTGATGATGCCCCTAGTGGATCAGGTAACCTCCTGGATAGTCTGGTCACTGCCTGGACTGGTATTTGCAGTTTTGTGTGTGCTACATGGTAGCTAGCAAGGCTTTTTTATAAGGTGTTTTTTTAGGGGAGAGATCCATTATGAAAATATTATGCAAAAATGGATTTTCATGGAATGATTTGTCTTCATTGTGGTATTCATTGAGTTATACTTGGGAATTTTTCAAAAGGAAAGAAATAGGATTTCATTGTGTTTATCCATTGAGAAGTTATGTTCACCATCAACTGAACCTCACTGGGCATGGTTGCCCCCACAGGAAAGTACCCCTCCCAAATCTTCCAGAGAGAGTGCTTGATGCTAAGGCCTTTTGTAGTTATTTGAGCTCCAGAGGGAAGAAATTGGCTATAGAGACAAAATTAGGGTAGGGGAACCTACTTTTTGAGCCTGCTAATGTTATGAAAGGTAGTAAAACACACACCAAGGGTGTGTTCCTGCACAAGGAAAATGTGGTCTATTGCTTACACCCATGTGTCTCTCTTCCCAGCTGGAAAATAGGCTTGGAGGAGAAGAGCGGTTCCAAGAACGGGTGACAAAGCACCTAGTACCCTGCATCGCACAATTCTCTGTGGCCGTGGCAGATGACTCCATGTGGAAACCCCTCAACTACCAGATTCTGCTGAAGACAAGAGACTCCTCCCCTAAGGTGAGGACGTATGTGGGTCACAGTCTCTGAAACGGGAAGCTGCATCCCCCATGGGTGTGACCTGAATGCCCACCTATAGGTATAGATACCAGCCCCAGGGCACTGACAGGGAGATCCTGGCCCTAGGCCTCATATCTAGAGGTCTGAGCTACTGTATAATATAGATTTCTAGCCTTTATAAAGAATTCCTGGGCTGGGGAAGATAGATAGCTCAGTTGATGAAATGCTTGTTGTGCAAGCACATGAATCAAGTTTCATCTCCAGAACCCACATAAAAAGCCAGCATGCTGGTGTAAAAAGCAGACTTTTATTACATTTATTAGGCGTTCTTACACAGTAGCAGAAACAAATTTATTTTAGTATTTTGATTACATATTAAGAAAATCTTGATTAAATATATTTTATTCTGAAAATTATTCCAAATTAGAAAAAGGACTGTTTTATTTCAGTAGCCTGCTGTCAATACCTCATGTCACTTGCATTGCTCATGATAGGCAAGAAATGATGAAACACCCAAACTCTTATTCAGTGCTGAAATTAGACTAGCCAGGTGGTGTCTTGGCCATACAGGGGCTGTGAGGTATGGCCGACGCCTTCCATCACCACGTTGGTACTATCTCTGGCAATCCAACAGACTATCCCCAGTTTAGTTACATTTATGACTCCCTTAAGTTTGCATGTGTTATTAGGGTGGGGCATGCACTTGCCGTCACACAGGTGTGGAGGTCAGAGGCCAACTTGCAAGAGTCAGTGTCTCCTTCCCTCATTATGTGGTCCTGAGGACTGAACTCAGGCCACCAGGCTTGGTGGCAAGCGCCTTTACCCACTGAGCCGTCTTACTGGCTCTTGCTTTTTGTTATGTTTTGGTTTTTGTAAAGGAAAACACAATCTTTTTTTTTTTTCACATTTTAAAGTGCTACAGTGCTAGAACACAGTGAAAAACACTGGTAAGTAGATTACCCGCATCCTAAGTAGCCCTCACATGGGCACATAGTGTGTGTGTATGGTGTACACTGAGCGATCACAGTGAGGGTGTCAGTCAGGTCAGGTCTTACGGTAGGGGACAGATGAAACAGTCTCCTTCTTGATACCTGTTCCTTCCAGGTGCGGTTTGCAGCCTTGATTACTGTCTTAGCAGTGGCTGAAAAGCTGAGAGAGAATTACATTGTTCTGCTTCCAGAGTCCATTCCTTTTCTAGCAGAATTGATGGAAGGTAAGTCTGAAGCATTATAATAAACAATGATGCAGAATCCTGTGGCTGTAGGCTCCCTGACACAGATCTGTTTGTTGAGTCCTCTCTGCCATGCCTGGGGCACAAGTCAGGAAGCTGTCACCTCACAGTCACTAAGAGCAGCTTGCAGTGTGTTACTGCTCATGTGGGCCATGGTATTATTTATGAAATAACTTCAAATATTCACATGAGTCATTGTCTGTGCCATCATGTTATAATCAGTGGTCCACTGGAATGCTGAGCTATACTTACTGGTACTCGGTGTTAGGTGCTGACATAATCTTACAGTGGGTTCACACTGCCCCTCTAAGAAACTAGGAACTTGGAAAGCTAAAGACGTTGCTAATAGCACTAAATGGCAGGTGAAGCTGCTTTCAGCAGGGATTCACCTCTCATCGACATGCCTCTGCATTGTCCCTCCCAGTGCCTTCATAGTAATGGGGATGGTGAGGAAGGAGAGGTACGTTTGTGTCTCACTGGCTGGACATCTGGCCAGAAACATGCTCTGTTATGTCTGGTGTTAGCAAGGGCTGTGGGAGCTCCTGGAGCTTGGATTTGAATGTGGCCCCTTTCTTGTGGCTTGGTCCTCTTTGGCAGCGACAAGAACATGCCTGTGGAGGAGTGGGGGTCGGTGAGGGAGGACCTCAGGTCCTAGTCTGCTGGATGCTTCTGTGCGCAGTGGCTGTTAGGCAGGACGGCTGCAGGCACACTCCTAATTCTGGGTCTTGTCTGTCAGATGAATGTGAGGAAGTGGAGCATCAGTGCCAGAAGACCATCCAGCAACTGGAGGCCGTGCTGGGCGAGCCGCTGCAGAGCTACTTCTGAAGCAGAATCCACCTGCAGCTGGTGCTCTGTCACAGAGTTCATCCTCATGTTCTTACGTGGTGGGTGTGGTGCCATATTACTTTTGGTACTTTCACATCTGCCGATATGTAATGTTTTTACAAAATCCCTACCTGTCTGGACTCCCACAGAAGCTTCTCCTGCCTTTTGTACAGAGCTGCTAAGGAGTAAATAGAATAGTGTTTTATACAAACTGTCTGGTATTTGTCTTTGTTCTGGCTGGTGTTCCAGATGAGACTGGTGTGTTTGGTACCTGAGACGTGGTGCTTCTCTGAAGCACGGGATCTCACTGTTTGTCTGTGGTATAAGTAGTGGTCTGGGTCAAGGAAAAGGCCCCCTGCAGCAGCATTCAGGCTGTGCTGTTTCCATTGTTTGGGAAACAGCCACACCTATCTGACAGCTCTGGGGAAGGACAGCAATGCCATTGACGGTTTTGTAGTTCTATCTGCTACTGTTACAGTGAGGCTGAAAATGAGAGTTCAAATAGAATTAAGCCAGTTTGCCTTCAGTATCTACAGCATGGAAGACCTATTCCAGAGAGTATTCATTCTAATTTAATATAAAACTTTAATGTAGGATTATGACAAACAAAAAGGTCATTTTGCATTTTAGAGATAAAAACTTAGAAATATACAATGAAACATCTCACAGCTTAAATTCCAGCAGCTTTTTTTAAAGACCAAGAATCTAAGAATTAAGATTGATTCTATTCAAAATCAGTCTTCATAGTTTTGTGTAAAACAGAAATGAAAATAATGGGTTTTTATTTTCCCCGAGTGCGTTTCAGAGCTGGGGAATTCTAGAGCCTTCTGGGTTCCCCAGATTGCCCAGTTACACACACCACCCCATATCTAGAGCCTCTTGGGCTCCCGACAGATTGTCCGGCTCTACATACAACTCCCCATAGCTTGAGTTTTTCAGTAGTTGGCATAATGGATTTCCATAAAAGGAATGAAGGGCTAGCAGTTGCTGCATTGAGCACTTCCTAAAAAGTAAGAAATGGTGACGGTATTATTTCCTATGTAAGAATACATCTGTCTGGGAGAACTGGCTGTGCATACTCCTAAGCCCTGGCAAAATTCTATCCTGTGGTTTAGTCATAAAATGACCTGATGAAATTAGCTCATCTCCCTCCCAACACCATATCTGTAACAAGATCAGAACCGTAAAGACTTTACCTAGGGCTTCTCCCAGCTCCAGTCAAATAATTGAAGCTATAGGAGTGTGGCAGTTGAATTTGCTGATGCAAGTTGACTTAGCAGACAGAGCAGTGTCTGATCTCACTGCTGATGTAGACAGACATGTCTGTCTTCAGGGGCAAGGGCTGGTTTACACTCCAACTCAAGCTTAACATTACTCCTGTGTAGGTTTTGCTTTGATAGTGCCTGTTCTATACATTCACTAAGTCTCATCCTGATGTCAGTTACGCAAGAAGGTTTAACAAACTGCATTTATCCATTCCCTACACACTTTGCCACAGGCACACACAGACTTGAGAGCCAGTAAGCAGAAATCTGCTTGGAGCAGAACACTTGTTCTAATTCAGTTTTGGGGGGTTTTTGCCTCAATTTTTCTGCCATGTTCAGCATATTAATTATTTTATAAAGCTTAAAGCAACGACAGCTAAATAAGTGTTATACAGTCATATAAGATGTGATAGGATGTGGATTATGAAAAGGATTACTGAGGAAGTAATGTTTTCCATCCATTAGTATGTTTTTCTGACCTTAACTACAAATGCCCCCTAATGGGGTTAATGCAATGTCAGCAGAAAGACCCTACAGTGGGGGGTCATGGGCGGGTGAGTGCCAGAAAACAGGGACCACACTGGTTCTGGGCACCTGTGTCTATGCCCAACTCAGAGAATATACACAGGGAATATACCTTCCATCCCCATTAATTAGTATATTAGAGTAGGCAGGCACTTTAATATTTGCTGAATGTGGTTTTATAATACGGGACCCTATGTGCAGAGCCTCACCAGTGGTAAGCTGGGATTGCCCCAGATTTGTTCCTCTAAACATAGAGGTAGCCACACTGCATGGCCAGGCCTGAGATACCAGATAGAACTTGACTTTGTATGAGCTCAACTTAACAACATAAACAATGTGGTGAAAGCCAGATGCATTTGACATGGCCAGTATCACATAAGCCATTTTGTATTTTATGGTTTGGTGGCAATCATGGTAGCTACCAGCTCCTTACATCCAGCAAACGGATATCACCATCAACTGCTAATGTGTCAATACTGCTTAGCTCTTTAAATCTGTGTTTGTACTCCAGGCTATGCACACCGTTTATCGCAACCTTGAATTCTCGGACATCACAGTAAATTATCATCTGAAAAGAAAGGAGATACACCATCAGTAGCTGCCCTTCGTTTTAAATTTTATGTTTCTTCTATAGTAACAGACGGTCAAAAGGAAAACCATTTGGCTTGCTTTGAGCTTGGAGATGTTTCCCCAGCCTTCTACCTTTGATTCCCCTTCTGAGTGACTTCACAGGCAACCCAAATCCCAATGTACCATGTGGCATCTCCTTCAGCCCACTGTGTCTCACCAGGTGCCCCCGTGCCGTGTCTCCCCCCCCCCCCCAATTCTGATCCTGGCTTTTAGAAGACTGGGAAGTGTCTCTCCTTGTGGTATCTGGGAATTAACAGAAAGTTGCTGATCACTGCCCCTACCCATTCCCTGAGAAACAGCCTGACTATCCTGCCTCAATGCTAGGGTCTTGGCCATGTCAACTGATGACATTCCAACAGCTCAGGACACTTGGTAAGGAGAGCAGTTACTCAATAATCCTGACTCTGTCCTCAATCAGAACATATTGGCCTCTATACCTGTTTTGAAACAGCTTGTCAGTGCTTGCCACAGTGAAGCCTTTAGAAGTCCCGCATAGTCTGGCTTTGGACTGGCCGCATTCCCAGAGATAAGACTAGAGTACCAAACTCGAATTTACAAAGAACCTTGTTATGGTTCTATTCTTTAGATGGTAGCAATGGGAAAAGCTCCCACAGGAAGTCAGGACAAGGGGCAAGTGAGCACAAAACGTAATTGACTAAACCAAAGTAATGCTACACGGGGAACTGGGGATTACCTATTACTTGAGGTATCTCCCCAAGAATGAGGGAGATCCCAAGTTCAACTAGTTAGAAGGGATCTTAGGTGACATATACTTAACAAATCTCAAATCATAATTCAATCTCCTATTGTATAGCACAACAGAAAAGGGGTGGAGATGCCTGGCAAGAAGCCAGATGCAATCCTAGCAAGTTCCCCCCTGTTGTATCAATAAATGTAAAAGCAACAAGTGAAAACACTGCAGCAAAGCACAGACAGGAAGAAGGCATGTGACCTGCAGGGTGTGTCTCCTAGAAGAGGAAGTGAAATAGCAGAGAGACAACCCCACCCCACCCCCACCAGTGACCACAGAACAGCTGGGAAAACAATTTTCTGGCTCAAATTCTGCTTGCTCTGGTCCGGGGCCTTCAAAGAGCTGGAGGTAGCCAGACTGTGGCCAGGCCTAACAGCATCCATATAGTGAAGTTGATGATCTGTGAGCTCCACTTGATGCACTGACAGATGTTTTAACACAGCCAGTGTCACAAGCTGTTTTGTATTTGAACAGCATATCAATGCAATCCAATAGTGACTTAGATTTTAAGACAGAGCTGGGGTGGTAGTTTAGTGACTCGGTGTGCTTGCCTGTGAGGCCCAGCATGACTAGTTTTAAAAAGAGTGGGGCTGGAGATGGCTCAGTGGATAAGCGCACTTGCTGTTCAAGTGAGTGTGAGTCCTAAGACTCAAGTAAAAAGCTGGGCCTCCCAAGCACCTGTAACCTATGGCATGCCAGGGGAGTGCTTACAGGATCCCTGGGGATTGCTGACTGCTAACAGCTCCAGGTTCACTGAGAAACTTAAAAGCATTGGACGGTAGAGCAGGCCTATGCACACAAATGTCACACACACACAGACTTCGAGTAGGTGAATTTGAAATGCAAGGTGCTGTTTAATTGAAAAGAACGGCATAGTGGAAAGATCTACAAGAACCTGGGAAAGCATCCTGAAGTCACATTTGATACAGTCTATCACTGTGGTAGGCTAACAGCAGCATGGGGGTAATCACTGTTGCAGCACGAAAGCTCACAAGGGAAGCAAGTCCAAGTACTAAAGATTTGTAGTGTCCCCGCCTGCCTCCCTGACCCCTCGCTGAGCCAGCCTAAAAGCTCTGTGCCCACAGAAAAAGATCTGGAATGCACTCCCTCTAATTCTTTTTTTTTTTACAGGTTTGTGTTAGTTTTGATTATTTGTGGGGTATGTGCACGTGAGTGCAGGTATTAGATTGCATAGAGCTGAAGTTTCAGGGATTTGTGAACCACCCAATGTGGGTGCTGACTGGAAACTGAATTTAGATCTTCTGTAAGAACAGAACACACTCTTAACCACTGAACCATCTCTCCAGCCCCTGCTTCTTCTAATTTTAATAGCATTATCTAAATTATGAGTCAAATTGGAGGTAAATAAAAATTTCATTTTTCTGTTTTTCAGCATTATTTGAGTTTTGACACCTTTTCATTTCAGCATCATAGATTGAGGCCAAGTTATTCCACTGTTTTCCTCTCAGCCACAAGGACCAGTTTGTTTTTAGAGGTACCCACCCAACTGTCTCCGTCCTGTGTACCTCAGGTTACCCCATACACCTTGGCCCCTGCCAATCACAAACCCTGAGCCACACCTCCCTCTTCTAGTGACTTGTTCAAGTGCCCTACACCTGACCTTCCAGATCGTACTCAGCCTTCTGAATTCACAAACAATACCCACACCTTCAAGGAACCTGCCATGTCTGGTCCACATCTACCCACCCTCCAAGCACTAGGGTGCTTCCTTATGCCAGAACTTGGGAAATAATGTGACTGTCACGTTGAGATATTCTGGTCAACTTGGCATTAGTGCTTTAACAACCAGTTGAATGAGTCCCTGAGAATTCTTAATAGTTTCAGCATGTGAGTTTAAAATGTAAAGCCTGACCTAAACTAATGATCCTGAAGGACCATGAGAGGTAGTCACCTAAGCCAGTGACCAGTCTAGCCAGCCACCTAGCATTTACATCCCAAGGAGACATCACTCTCCAATCAGAAAGCACCCCAGAAAAGGTGGCTTTGGGAAAAGCCATGTGTTAACATAATGCATACTGGGGACTAGAAACTTCACGCCTTCTGGTTCCAAGGGTCTTGTGTACTATTCTTTAACTACCTACCAACAGGACCAGCTTTTAGAAAGAAATACTGCCATCTGGAACTGTGGAGGTCATGAACAGTACAAGTACACACTTACAGGGTTCCCATGTATCTACTTACAAATGCGTATGTGGGGCTGGGGGGACGACTCAGTAGAAAAAGCGCTTTGCAGGGGACATGAGTTAAGTGAAACTCTGGGTGTGGTGGTATGTACTGTTACTCCCAGTGCTGGGATGCAGAGATGTAGATCCTAAGGCTTGTTGGCTAACCTAGCCAATTGGTGAGCTCTGGGCTCAGTAAGAGCTACAGAAAAAGGCATAACATCAACCTAGCAGCAACACACACGCACATGCACTTATGCCAAAAAGAGTAGATCTGTATTTCCAGTCCTGAGACAAAGTTCCTGTCAGAACTCCTTGTGGTTACACAAATGTCAACATGACAACTGTCAAGTATTCTGGGATGTCGAGTGTACTGGCCCCACTGTTTATACCAATGGCCTGTGTTCAAATTTCAACCTCCACAGTGGGTGAATAGCACACAATCCCTACACAGAGGGTTGGGTTTGATTTCAATAAAAGTTATTTACCATGTTCTGAGGATTCCTTTGTCCTGTCCCATTGCAAAACAAAGCAAAACAAAAACTATAATCTTACCTCAAAGTACATTCCAGGACTAAATGGGAAGCAAGTAATATTTTTCTCCTCTTCTCCCCAGGCATCCTGAAGAAAGGAATTTCTTACAAATGCTTTCATGTTCAGGCGTGGGTTCAAGTGTAGAGCGATGTCCCTTGATTTCCCTGCCACTAGGTCAACGTTAAAGCTGTAAGAGAAAGGAAAAAAACCTTAGACTGGAAATACAGTTCTAGCTACAAACCATGCACATGGGAACGTGGGGGAGGGGATTCCAATTCTGAATATGCATGCCACTAACACATTTGCAACATGAGACCAGGATCAGTGCTGAAGCTGAGGTGCAGCTGAGCTACAGCTGGGGGTTCAGAACAAGTAAATCAGGTAAGTACTTCAGGTAGGACTCCGGGACCCTCAATGCAAGCATTCTCCAATCAATTCCACATGTTCCCTTTTTGAAAGCATGCTACTACCTAGGAAATAGATCTCATTTCAAAAGCATTCAAGAATATGGACATCTTGGAAAAAGGTGTGTGTGTGTGAGTGAGAGAGAGAGAGAGAGAGAGAGAGAGAGAGAGAGATACATGGGGGTGGGTATACACACAAGCCAGACATTGGGTATCTTCCAATACTGCTAACTCATTTTTAAAGATTAATTTTATTATTTTTAATTATACATACATGCATAGCTATGTGCATGTACATGCAGGTGCCAGTGGAGGCCAGAAGAGGGCACCAGATCCCCTGAAGCAGGAGTTAGTGGAGGCTGTGAACTGCTTGACATTGGTGCTGGAAACTGACCTCTGCAACAAAAGCTGCACAACTTTTTAATCACAGCATCTCTCTAGCCCTTCTGTCTTATTTTTTTTCTTTTTTGAGACAGGTGCCCTCGGGATCCTCCTGTCTGCCTCCCACATGCTGAATTAGGCTTGCACTACCACTGCCCGACTCAGAGGAGATTTTTTTTTTTTTTTTTTTTTTTGGTTTTTCGAGACAGGGTTTCTCTGTATTGTTTTGGAGGCTGTCCTGGAACTCGCTCTATAGACCAGGCTGGCTTCCAAACCACAGAGATCCACCTGCCTCTGCCTCCCAAGTGCTGGGATAAAGGGCGTGCACCACCAACGCCCAGCTCAGAGGAGCAGACTGTTGTGTATCACAGAAGGGAACCCTCATTTGGGTGTGACAGGATGACTGTCCTGGCAGAAGTGAAGGTATTGTAAAGAGGGATTTGTGTCCCTCATCCACCAGACCACTGAAATCATGGACCCCAAGAAATAGGGATTTCCCAAGAATCGCATGCTAGGAGAAGGAAACAGCACTCATCAGAGTGGGAACTTGTTGCCTGGAAAAATATCTGAAACTTGTAAGACTACCTTGTGGGATGAGACTAGTGGTGGCGGGGCCACGCCCTGACTGGGACCGCTGAGATTACAGCTCCTTGGCCCTCTATTTAAACTTTAACTGTGCCACAGGACCCTGCAAATGCACGCCAGTGGTCACTGGTCCTTTTTGTCGCTCTTCCCCATTTCTTCCTGCATTGAATAAATTCTTTTTCCCCATTTCTTCCTGCATTGAATAAATTCTTTTTCTGCGTTGAATAACTCCTTTTTCTGCATCAAATAACTCCTTTTTCTGCACTGAATAACTCCTGCTTTCCACTGTTAATTTCAATGGCTCCTTCATTGGCTTTTCATTGATTCCTTGAGGATGGATAGCTGAACTTGGCTTCTTGGGGTATGGACTGTGACCCCATGTTTGGTACACTGAGGCTGTCCTAGGCAAGAGGAGCCTTGTGACCAAAAATTCCACCTACCTGACCAAAAGGGGGCCCAGCCAGAAGCTGTCCCTAGTCCCGACTCTGCCAAGAGCTCTTTAGTGGGACCTTGCACTGCCATGGTCCCTCCTTTCAGGAAAGCACACCCGCTCCAACACCCCCCAAGTCCACAAGGCAACAGTGAAGCAGCAATACTGACCCTTTGGCATTTGTATTCACTTCTCCTTTAATGACAACGGTTCGTCCAGGGCCCATGGAGGCATTTAACCTTGCTTCAAATGGCAGGCTCTGAAAAGAGCTCACAGTCAGAATGAGGCAATCTTCAGGCAAGGACCTTATGGGAAAATTCCTAACAACACAGTGGGTCAAGAGTCTGTGGACCCCAGGAGGGGACAGACCGTTGCTTTTATTTCAGCTGGGTACCATGCGAAGCTGCTCTTGGCTAACAGGACACTCACATGGTGATTGTTTTCATAGCATGGGTGACACCTGATAGGAGACATTGCTGCAGAGCTATCTAAGGTCTAATGGGACCGGCAACCCATGTGAGTGGTTCAGACACATGCCTGAGGACATGTCTGACCAGGGAAAGCACAATGGGAGGGGCCGCCCTGGGCTTCTGGGAGTTGTAGCAGTTAATTAGAACTTAATTTTTTTTTTTTGGTGGGGGAGGTCAAGACAGGGTTTCTGCCTTTGCCTCCCAAGTGCTGGGATTAAAGGCATGTGCCACCACCACCCAGCATTAGAATTTAATGTCTATACAGAGTTAAACTGTTGGTTCTTCAAACCTTAGACAAACAGCTGGGGGGAGAGGTTAGAGTGAGTGACAGTTCAGTCTACGCAGTTCCGGGTATGATTTTAGAAGACTCTCCCCTATTACCAGTTACAGGAAACAGTTCTAAAGTAAAGTGTGGAAAGAATGCAGCTGCCTTTAAGGCTTAATTGTTCATGTTTTGGGTCGTTTATAAAATGTCCCACAAGGACTAACCAAGCAAAAGGACTTACCAAATGTGCTTTGCCAGACTTACACACCTGGTGGGAGAGAAAGAAAAGTGAGCACAACCTTCTGGGCAGACTGTCAGGTTTGCAAGGAGCAGCCTGCTGAGGTGTCATGTATCAGTGCCATCGCCTTGGTGTGACACAGGCACCGTGCTTCGTGACAGGTGCTGTGGGGCTTATGAACTAGAACGAAGTCCGGCGTCCTTCATGTGAATACTTTAGCATCCACAATAATGGTTGCTCAAAGGTTTACATGTGAACTTCAAACATGTCTTACCTATCCTCCCCAAGAGCCCTCCAAATACTGGAGGCATGGATGTGCAGAGGTGTAAGGCATTGCTTTCTCCAAAGCAGTAAAACGTCAATTTTAAAACCGCTCTTGTTGCCACCAAGGGGCAGAGTTCATCTACAGTGCACTTGGTGTTCGGGATTTGCAAATGCTTCTTTCCAATGCTTCTTAAGAACTCAGGGTGACAAAGTGCTTTTTACATGACCACAGAGTAGTAGCCATTTAACTAGCAGGTTACATGTTACAAAAATACAGTGCCCAAGACCATAAAACAGTATGCTCCTTGGTTCTTAAATGGCTGCTTCTGTCCTGACCTCACATTAAAAACTTAAGTTGTGAAGCTGGGGAGACAGCTCAGTTGGCACGGTGCTTGCTATGCACACATGCAAGCCAGGCATGGGAGTTGCACACTTGTAACCCCAGTGCTGGAAAGGCAGAGAAAGGAGGAGCTCTAGGGCAAGCTGACCAGCCAGTCTAGCCAATGGGTGAGTCCCAGGCTCAGTGAGATACCCTGTCTCAAAAAACTAAGGTGGAAGTGTTAGGGAGGTGGCCCAGAGGCTAAGGCACTTGCAGAGCACAAGGACTGGAGTTGACATCCTCAGCACCCATATAAATGCCGGCCCAGCATGGAGGCCTGCCTATAATCCTAGCACAAGACAGATCTCTGCAGCAAGCTGGCTACTTAGACTAGCTGAATTGGCAAGCTCTGGGTTCAACTAAGAAACTCTGCCTCAAAATGCTGAGAACGATCAAGGAAGACATCTAGCGTCTACTTCTGGCTTTCACACACATGCCAACACACACGTGAATATGTATACACATGCATATACTGCACACATATACATGCAAAAATAATTTTTAAAAAGATGTATAGCTATTGGGACTGGAGAGATGGCTCAGAGGTTAAGAGCATTCCAGAGAACCTGAGTTCGATTCCCAGCAACCACATGGTGGTTCACAACCATCTGTAATGAGATCTGCACCCTCTTCTGACTTTCTGGCATACAGACAGACACTGTATAAAATAAATAAATCTAAAAAATGTTTTTTTAAAAAGATATAGAGCAATTGATAAAGACTTCCAGAGTTGACCCTGGCCTCCATGTACATGTACACACATGTACACATGTACCTACACACACATGAATGAATACAGAAAACTCAATTTCAAAAACTAAATAAGCCTTCCTTCCACTGAATGTAACAAGAACTTTTTGTTTGTTTGTTTTGCTTTTCAAGACATGGTTTCTCTGTATTGCTTTGGAGGCTATCCTGGAGCTCGCTCTGTAGACCAGGTTGGCCTTGAACTCACAGAGATCTCCTGCCTCTGCCTCCTGAGTGCTGGGATTAAAGGCGTGTACCACCAATGCCTGACCTTAACATTTTTTAACTGCTGGTTCATAGACAGAATATTTACATTCTCTACTTATCTGTGTCAGTCTCAGGGCAGATGTTCCCATACTCTATAAATCCTACAAAAAGATCATAGATTAACTTTAACATCATCAGATTCTTTTTAAAATAGTGAGCATAATAAAAAAAAAATCAGTGACACCAAGCATGGAAAACCACTGAGAATTATGATTTTAAAAAATGCAACTGAGCCGGGCGTTGGTGGCGCATGCCCATAATCCCAGCACTCAGGAGGCAGAGGCAGGCGAATCTCTGTGAGTTCAAGGCCAACCTGGTCTACAGAGCGAGCTCCACGACAGCCTCCAAAACAGAGAAACCCTGTCTCAGAAAAAAAAAAAAAAAACTGAAGAAAAAATGCAGCTGAACACTGGGGAACCACCTGAAACTGACCAGTTTTCAAGAACAAGATCTGATGCTAATAGGATCATGAGCACACAAACAGTTGGGCACAGCTGCCAAGGGTGTGAACTGTTCACATTGGCAACAACTATCAGTATCAAGAAACTTAAATTCCAATACTTAGAAAACTGTCTTACAGAAATATTTATTTGCTACCACGGACAAGAAATACACACTAACCAGCTAAAAAGACATTCATTTTGCAAGCTCACTCTAGATTGGGGTCCCACAAACAGCAAAAGCCTGGTTAAGTGAGCAGGACCCAAGTGGTCTGAAATATATGTTACTTTTTCCTCAATGGGAGATGTAAATTAAAGAAAATTCCTACCAGTAGGTCTGACTGAATGTGAAAACGCTGTCCCCAAAGACCCCAGGTATGTGTGGAAGGGCACTTACCGAGCTGAAGCTGAACCCAATGGAGTGAATATTCACTTTGCCATAGATGCCCAGTGTGTCTATCTTCTCTGGGTCAATCCTATGGGCATACAGCAGAGCGTGCTTTCCATTCACAGCCACCTGCACAGACACAGAAGGTAGCGCCCTCAGAGCACGTTAACAGAGCTTAGCCAAATACAATGTCTCCTTACAGGCGGGAGTGGAGCTGTGGTAGAACATTTGCCCCACCCAGACGTCATCTCCAGCACCACAGAAATGAGTGAGTGAATGAATGAATGAAATGTTTTCTTAGGTTTATTTGCCCACAGATCTCTACTTACATTGTGGCTGAAAGCAGCCGCCACCACACTAGCAGAAATCCTGAACTTTTTGAGTCTTGTCTGATTAAGCACCTGGGTCATCATCTTTCCAGGCATATACATTTGGAAATACGTGTGTGCCACATGTGTCCATCTGTGAGTGTGCCCAAGAGATAGCCATGCTCAGGGCCCCAAGGGTCACACATGAGGTCTGGAAGCCTGGGAGGCAGCTTAGCTCTGCCAAATTGCTGCCCAGCCCTCTTTGAGGGCTACACTGTGACAGAGCCAACCTATATGGAAACCACAAGTATGTGCTGACTTCACAAAGTGAGAGCACACAGCAGTCGGGCGTGGTGGCGCATGCCTTTTATCCCAGCCCTCAGGAGGCAGAGGCAGGTGGGTCTCTGTGAGTTTGAGACCAGCCTGGTCTACAAAGTGAGTTCCAGGAAACCCTGCCTCAAAAACAAACAACAAAAGCACACAGTGAGCTTTCTGATTTATCTGAGATTTCTTATCTCTAAATTGTAAAGACCTTACTCAATGGGCTGAAGCTGTGCAGGGTGGTACAATGTCATCTGTGAGTCCTCTGCACAGTGCCTCCTAAAGCCAGGTGCTGTGTCACAGTCCAGGAGGGAGACATAAACAGCCCACAGCAGGACCCACAGCACATATACAACAAGCCCAGGCAACATGGTGGGTACAGCTACTCTGATCAAGACTGAAGGGGAGAAGAGCAAATTGAGGAGTGCAGGGGATTCCAGAGAGCAACGTCCCACTGGGACCTAACCAAAATATGCACACACTCCCGGAGCTGGAGGATCTCTGGTTCACAAGCCCTCTGTGGGTTTGAGGGCTGGCACTCAAAGGACCTTCTGGAGCCAAAGTGCAGCCCAGGAAACCAGTGGCTGTGTTCACAAGACCCCAGAGCCCTACAGCAGTATCTGGCTATGACACTGGGCCTGCCCTGGCCACCAACAATCTTCTCGTGTAGATTTTCCTACACCTTTGGTGGGGGTTTTTATAATCCACTACCCTAACAATAACACGATGCTGTGTGGATCCAGAGCTTAACCCTCCTAGAAGAAAGAAGACCTGACAAAGAGTATGTGTTCTGGACCTGTGTTTCCATGTGGACAGGGAATGACGAATCTGATGCCTCCAGTCACCTCAGAGTGGCCCCAAGCTTGCTCGCTAGCACTCACCTTGTCTCTCTCAGCACCTACCTGGAATTTGTTCTTGAGCACCATGATCACGATCTCGAAGGACTTTTCTTTTTGGAAGGGCATGTCGTAGGTGATCTCCTCCCAGCCCCATTTCTCATTTGTCAGCGTGTTGCAAACAATGCAGTTGGACCTTTTGAAGCGAGGATTAAAGTGGAAGGCCACGTCAGCCCTCGGCTTCAGGCTGTTGCCATGCTGCAAGTCCACCTGGAATCTGGGCGATGGCAGAGAAGAACCACATAAGCAAGTAAAGGCGAGTCTTGGGGAAAGTAAGATGCCTTCCTGCATCCACAGCACCTACAGGGCAGCCTGCCCATCTTCCCCTTCCTCCTTCCTCAGTAACACAGCCCACAGTCAGATAAGACCTTTCCTTTCCTAACTGCCCTGGATCCTGGCCTGTCTGTCAGCACAAGTTTGCTGATGATCAGAAAGCAAGTTCCAGGGAGACTTCAGGCCCAGGAGTCTGTTCAGAGTGAGCGGCACCTGATCTTCATCCACACCTGCTCCTCGCCCCCACCCCTGCTGCACACAGACCTCCAGCATGAAAGTGAGGGTGCATTTTAGCTAAGCATCACCACAAGTTGATGGGTAGAACTGACTACAAAGCTCTGGGGTCTCTCTGAGACCATTTCCACATACTTAAATCAATGATGTAAGTCACTCAGAACTGAACTCAACTCTGACAGACGCGACCTGCAATGGTTACTCTTCCTTGTCTACCTGACTGCATTTTGAGTCACCTAGGAGACACAGCCCTTGGTGTGTCTATGAGAGCATTTTCCAGAGAGGTGTGACGGAGGAGGGAGACCCATCCTGAACGTGGGCAGCACCACCCATAGAGTAGAGTCCCTGACTGAATACAAGAGAAGAAAGGAGACAGTGAGCTGAGTGCCAGCCATTCATCTCTCACCTTCCTGACCAGGGACACAATGTGGTCAGCTGCCTCCAGACCCTGCCACCATAGAAGACGTGCTCTTATTCTCTACTGAGATGGACTGGACCCTCAAACCACAAGCTAAAATGAACTCTTCTTCCTTTTGTTGCTTCTCTCAGTAACAAGAAAAGGAACCGACACATCCTGAGTTTATGCCCAAAGCAGACACTCGGCAAAGCCGCCAAGACTGTCTTGAGAGATACCGTGACAGGTCCTGTTATCGAACAACCCCCTTTTTCTGTCAGTGCATCTGTGTATATTGAAACCAAACTTACAGCAATGATATAAAAAACCAGTAACCAGTTTGGCATGGTGGCACACGCCTTTAACCCCATAGCACGTAGGAGGCAGAGGAAGGTGGATCTCTGTGAGTTTGAGGACAGCCTGAATTTCAGGACAGCCAGGGCTATGTAGAGACCCTGTCTCAAAACAAAATAAGAAACTCCAGTAACCTTCACCCTGTTACTCATCCCCCTCACAGCTCAGCAGGGCTGCTAGTGAAACAGCAGCAGGCCTCACAGCATCAAAGTGGCCTCTCCACAGTCACTGGCAGACTTCCACAAGACACAATGATCTTACCTGTCCACATCATTAGGAATATGTCCACGGATTACAATCAAAGAGCCAGGCTTCAGTTGCTCAGAAATGGTGCCAACATAGGGGATTGTCTGAGGGAAAGAAATTTGACAAATGTATTTTCATAAATTCAGTTACAAGGCAATTATAAGCAAACTCAGTGACTAATGGAGGCTAGTAACAGATGACATTGAACTTCTGACTCTCCTGCCTCTCTGCCTCCCAAGTAGGGACTGCAGGTAGGCACCATGCCCAGCTCACAACCTGTACTTTTAAAGGTTGAATAGAGATGATGAGTAAGATACTGTAGTAGATTAAGAACTGAGAGTGAGACAGAGTGCTGCCCTTGAAACACTGGCCCCTAACTGGGGCCTACACCTGTGCTACCAAGAAAACACCTGTAGCTTTCACCTGGGTGTCTGCAGTACTCCTGTGAGTGAGACAGACAGTGCCTATGTTGACCAACACCGGATAAAATCCCCAAGTGTTCAGAGTCTCCCCAACACAATCCCACGTGGAGGCTCTAAAGGGCCCAGGGGCATGTGCTGACTCTGCCCCTGAGCCTCTTAGTCTGGCAGAGCTGCTCCCTGCCCTTTGGCTGCAACAACTCAACAGCCACGATCATAAACTTGTGCTGGTGACTCAGCACACTTGGTGTGGCCTTAGGGACCTGGTTCCAGAAGCAGCCATTTCTCAGTTCCAGTTGGGGCTAACGGTGGCGAGTGGTTTATGAATGAGGAGCAGCAGCCAGCCAGACTCATGTTTACTAACTTCTTGGCCAGCTGGAAGTCGAGCGCCTTCAGCTCTCCACAAGCCAGGTGTGGCAGCTCAACTTGCAGTCTCAGCAGCTGAGAAGCAGAGGCAAAAGACTGATGCAGGACGGAGACAGTCTGGGATACAAAGTGAGATGCCAGCTCTCAGCTAAACAAAGACAAGTGTGCCAAAAACAACTACAGAACCTATGGGAAGATGATGAAGTTCCCAAAGATTCCACGTGACAGCATCTCTGGTGTAAAATGAAGACATCTTTCATATTACTCACTCAATTTGAATGGAGAAGAGTGAGTCTGGCTTTTAATTCTTCAGATTCTTTCAGTGAAACTAATGAAAAAAATAAGCCAAATAGGAAAAAAGATACCACCAGATATACAAAGTGTACTTTGTTCTTCCCAAGAAGTGTTTTAACATGGACAGAGCTTGCACCAGTCTGGACCATGAACACTAAAACATTCACGAGGTCAAAATGAAAAGTAACAGTTCCTGTCTTCATCACACCAATTACAGAAGAACAAATCATATGCATATACACCCACAAACACATACACTTACCACGTACACATATACACACATGCACTCTCATATGCATGCATACACATGCTCAGACATGTACACACTTACATATACACAGAAGCCTGGTCTTGTTTGTTTCTTTCCAATCCACAACCTTGAGATGTTTTTAACTATAACATAATGCAGTCACTTTAAATGTCTTCACTAGTGTCAAATTTTGTAGACCTTCCTTTTTGAACCCTTTGTCACATAAGGCTATTTCTCCCCAAAACTCAGCTTGTTTGGCATGGTGTTAACCCTTTCTTTCCTTATGACACTATGAAGGTTAGGGACTCTTAGCAGCAGCCTGAACTGCACAATAAGCTTTGCATGGGCTCTCGCCACTGGTTCCCGACATTTCCCCTGCTTCAGAGGGGAAGCCTGGACATTAACTCTTGTGAACAGTTATCATTTCAAAAAGAAGACAAAAATCCAGGTGTGGCAGAATAGACCAGTCTAGAACCCCAGCACTAGGGCTGAGGCAGGAGGATTCCAAGTCTGAGCTCAGACTGAACAGCAATCAAATCAAACAAAAAGCCTAACAAATGAACAGTGAAGGGGTGGAGATGTGGCTTAGTGGTAGAATACACCCAAATCACGAAGCCATAGGTTCTACCAGACAGACAGAGAGATAGACAGATAGACAGATAGATAGATAGACAGACAGATAGATGATATACAAACAGAGGTGGAGCTTTTCTTTTGTCCCAGCTGTCTGGTCTCAATTAATCACACAAAAGCTTGTATTAACTATAAAATATTCAGCCTATAGTTCAGGCTTATTACTAACCAGCTCTTACTATTTAAATTAACCCATTTCTATTTATCTACATTTTGACACATGGTTTCATGGCTTAACCTCTTCTCTAGAATGTCTTCTTCCTCTAGTGACTGGCTTACATCTCTCCCAACTCTGCCCCACTTTCTGCCTGTATCTCTGTTTGGTTTTCCCATCTAACCTCATTCTGTCTGGCTACAGGCCAATTTAGCTTTATTATTAACCAACGAGAGGAATATAAATCACAGCATACAGAAAGATTATTGCATAGCACAGACAGAACAAAAAGATGGTAGACAGAGATAGAGAGATGGGAAGGAAGGAAGGAGCGATTACCAAGCCAGTAAGATAGCTCAACAGGTCATGGTGCCTGCTGCCAGATCTGACTACCTGAGTTCAACTCTGGGACCCAAATGGTAGGATAGAACTTCCCAAAAGTGGACATGGACCTTCCCTTCAATGTGTGTGCTGCGGCATCAAGGTATATGCATGTACACATATTACAGATGCAGTAAATAAAAATGTAAAAAAAAAAAGCAAGAAGGAACAGCTATGTAGAATAAGAAATTCATTTTTCTTTAAAAGTTATGCTTTTAAGGTCTGAGACATGCCTCCCCCGGGGCCCTTAAATTATCTGTCCCCCAGTTCTCATCACCTTGTACTGTCATTGTTCCCCACACACACCTGAAAACAAGAGTCCCTTCTACTTTTTTTAAATTATCTGTCCCCCAGTTCTCATCACCTTGTACTGTCATTGTTCCCCACACACCTGAAAACGAGAGTCCCTTCTACTTTTCAGCCAGTACCCATCACAGTGTCAATCTCCCAAAGAAATGTCATATATACTAATGGAATTGTGTTCATGTCTGGCCCCCAATGGATAATTATAACTTGAGTGCATTTTTGGTTAGTCTTACTATAGGCAAAAAAAAGATTTGCTAAAAATCTATTACCGGGTTATAGATGATATTTTGCAGGTTGTTTAAGGACAACATTGTTCTTTTCCAACTTATTATTGATATTGCTGATTGGAGTCTCTCTTCTTTATATAAGGCTTTACCCACGTTTCCTTTAAAGAATACTCAAATTGAAAACCTGCCCTGTGTAAAAGCAAAACAGAAAATCAAGAATGTATAATTTTTCTTCACATCAAACTTTCATATGCAAATTATATTACCTTACCAATAGTTACCAAATAACAGAATATTAGTATAACCAAAGACCTACCCTATATTTTTTCCTTTTTTCTTTTCTTTTCTGTTTCTTTCTTTTTCTTTTTCTTTTTTTTTTGAGACAGGGTTTCTCTGCATAGGTTTGACCGTTCTGGAACTCACTCTGTAGATTGGGCTGGCCTTGAACTCAGAGATCCTTCTGCCTCTGCCTCCCAAGTGCTGGGATTAAAGGCATGCATCACTACTGCCTGTCTTTTACATTCTTCATAAGGTATTTGTACATGAAATAATTTTAAATTATCAGTGTAAAAAGGTTTTTTTTTTTGGTCTTTGTTTTTGGTTTTTCGAGACAGGGTTTCTCTGTATTGCTTTGGAGGCTGTCCTGGAACTTGCTCTGAAGACCAGGGTGGCCTTGAACTCATAGAGATCTACCTGCCTCTGCCACTGCCTCCCAAGTGCTGGGATTAAAGGCGTGTGTCACCAACACAGGCAAAAGTATTTTTAAAAACATAAGAAAGCCGGGCAGTGGTGGTGCCTTGGGTTCAATCTTCAACACCAAAAAAAGGTGGGGAAAGGGCTTGGGGGTTGTCTAATATACTCAAGGTCCTGGGTTCAGTCCCTAACACAAAAACAGTGCAAAACCCTAAACTACAAAAATGGCAAATACCATATGAAAATATTCATTTAACTTTTCCTGTTTGTAGAAAAAGCAAGAATCACATCATACGACTGCCCTGAGGATTAACAAGCTTAAATAGTGGAAAACAGCTCAGTATGTGTTAGCTATTAAGATGGCTCTTCTTCTTTAATCCCAGCACTTGGGAGGCAGAGGCAGGCGGATCTCTGTGAGTTCGAGGCCAGCCTGGTCTACAAGAGCTAGTTCCAGGACAGCCTCCAAAGCCACAGAGAAATCCTGTCTCAAAAAACAAAAACAACAACAACAACAAAAAAAGATGGCTCTTCTTCACTTAGCCAAATTAAGTCAGTCGGAGGTGGGGTGGGGAAGTCTAGCCACCCCCCTGAATACTACATACAATGTTCTGCACCAGCCTGGTTTTTAAAGATATCTCCACTATGCCTTTCCCAGTAATACATTGTACTCCCTCTAAGACTGATGACTCAAACCAGAACCAAGCCAGAAAACGAAACTAGAATTTCCTGCAGTTTACTTCCTACAGTTCTGTCTGGCTGTACGACATAAGGCGCTCGCCAACTCTTGTTAGTTTTTACTGGGAAAAGAAAATTGGATCTTTCTTGATTATACTCTAAAAGACAAACCTAGACCCCTACCTAGTATTTGCCATTAACTATCAATTTATTCAAAACTTCTGAACCTTTAGTTCTGTTCCATGCAATTCAGGAAGCAGGAACTAGAGCAAAAAGGAGACAAGAATTGCCATCGCCACATCCATAATTGATATCCTGCCCAGAGAGAGATCCAGATGGTCTAGGCTGGTATTAAATAACTAGTCCCCGAAGTCTCCGGGCAAGTCTTACCATCCCAGCCAATAGAAGCCATCGCTTAGATTTTACGATGTGCCCCAAACCCAGAGACCTTGCGTTTTCCCCACGTTCAACTTTGGGGTCGAATGACTCAACATCCTAAAGTGCGTGTATGGGATCACAAAGTGTGGCAGAGCTGTCAATCAACTGTCCCAGGGTCTGTCATTCTTGGGGATCCAGGTGACGCTCGCCCTTCCCTTTCCCCGGCTGGGGATGAAGACCACGTCCGGGGAGGCGCGGAGCGGAGAGGCCTCACCCGGGGCTGGCAGCGCTGTCCTGATACTCCGGTCGGAAGACCAAGCCTCAACCCACGACCACCTCCCGGTACCCGGTGCCCAGAGCCCAGTGCGTGCGTCGGGATGGGGTCGGCGGGCCGGCGAGTCCGCACTCGAACCACCCTTCGGATTCCTATCTGGAGACCGTGACATTCCGATGCCCCTAAGCCCGGCGTCGCCCGAACTCACCCCAGCCCGATGCTAGTAGGCACTGCGCTCTGACGTGTCCCCTGCAGGACACCGTCCGGGTTCTCCACGCGACTACAGGCTGCGGGCGGGGTTAGTCCCGGGCCGTTTCAGCGCGCACGACGCCAGGGGCGGGGCGTCCGAGTGCTGTGAGCCAGGGCGAGGGGGTCTTCCTGCCACCCATGCCTACTACTGGCTGACTGTGGGAGTTAGGAGTCTGAGTTTTGTTCGGGGCTGGGGTGTGGCTTACCTATCGTGCTGGAAGCCCCCAGGTTGATTTTTAACCAACTCTACACAAACTGGTCGAGGTGCATTGCCTGTAATCCCAGTTCTTTCGAAGTGGCAGGAGGATCATAAATTCAAGGTCATCCTGGAGATCTTTTGGGGGAAATTAAGGAGTTCTGGGTCACCCTGGGACACACACTGTATTTCAAGGGTGATAAAAATGCATTTAAAGAGTAATTGTGGGCGGATGTGTTTGGGGCCAGGGTCCTCCTCCGTGTATCTCCTTTGCAGCCTTAGGAATGCTGCGAGCCAATCGGCATTTAGCGCCTCTCCTTTTTGCCGGTAACTCACCCGAGAAGTGGAGAAAATCGGTTCAGTATTGCCCCATCTGTAAGCAGTGAGTGGCCTGGATGTGCCAACATTGGGACTCACTAAGTAGTGCGATTTTTTGTTTTGTTTTGTTTTGTTTTTTGTTTTTCGAGACAGGGTTTCTCTGAATTGTTTTGGAGGCTGTCGGTCCAGCCCGGCCTCGAACTCACAGAGATCTGCCTGCCTCTGCCTCCTGAGTGCTGGGATTAAAGGCGTGCGCCACCACCGCCAGGCAAGTGGTGCGATTTCTTAGGGAACAGTTTGGACAGTGTGGTGCTCGATTCTGAGCAGAGTAGATGGCCAATAAACAATTGCACAGTCAGGGGCTTGCACTGCCGACAGTTTGGCCTGCTTTCTACAAACAGAAATGCAAATAAAAACGTAGAGTACGTGGAGCTGCTGCCTAGTCTTGGTGTGCTGAAGGGCTCAAGTTATGTTCTCTTCTTGACTTTTGCCCGTGTTTGTTTTTGAAAGACATGTTTGAAATGGTCATTTGTTGTTTTTCTCCTCTGGTTGCGCGTTTTATTTTGCTTTGAACTTGAATTCATTCCAAGCCTCTTAGCAGCAACCTCATGTTGATTCCTTGTTACTTTTTCCTCTTTCTTCCTCTTGTTCGTTTTTAAAATTTGATTCACTCCTCAAGATTCTACTTAAATAGCTGAATTTAATCCTTGATGTACACTGCCTTAACGTTGTAGTTTTTGTTAGGTGTGGTGGGCTTCTAACTATACTTCGAGTTTTAAGTTGAGAAAGGGAATTTGCTGTACACATTCCCAATACCTTGTGTAAGTCCTCTAAAGAAATAGGTCCCTAGACCTTGGATTGAATGCTACATTATTGGTAAGTGAAGAGCAATTGAATATCCAGCTTTGCCTGAGCCTGCTGCTTCTTCACAAGGCTAAAGGTAAATACAAGGTAAATAAATTCACCTCAATGTGGGATGCATTTCAGATTGTAGAAATAGCTAGTGCAAAGCCCCGGGGCTCTTGAGAGCCCCTGCATGCTCTCAGAACCAAAATCCTCAGCTTGCTGAAGCTGGCAGTGAGAGGAAGGTGACATGAGGTCATGGGAATGTGGCCTCGGAGCACAGATAGGAAAAAACAGCCTTGACCAGAGCCCTGAGGAGAAAATCCAGGAAGAGAGAAAGTAGGAGCAGCTGTGGCGACCTGCTGGGGATGACTATGGGAATGCAAAGGAGAGCACACAGATGTGCTAAATTCTCTGAGGGGTCAAATAACACAAACAGGGTCAATGGACATAGCAGCAGAGGTCACTGGGAACTGACTTTGAAGTAGTGAAGACATGAGAGGTTAAATGGTGGAAATAGCCTTAAACATTGAAAACCATTCTGCTGGGAAGAACTGAGAAACAGCACCATAGCAAGGGAATGAACGGTGTTCACTGGGGCTGGAGAGATGCCTCAGAAGTTTAGAATATACATGGTGCTTGTAGAAGACCTCAATTCAGTTCCCAGCACCTACAATGTAGTTCACAATCAGTTGCAACTCTAGGTCCAAAGAATGGTACTCTCTTCTGGCCTCTGTGTGTGTGTGTGTGTGTGTGTGTGTGTGTGTGTGTGTGTGTGTGTGTGTCACACACAATACACACAAATGCAATCATACAAACTTTTTTTTTTAAGATTTTGAAGGGTGGTTATTTTTGAGATGCTGCAGTTCTGTGTAGCCCAGGCTAGCTTTGAACTCTTCATTCCTCCTGCTTCATTCTCCCAAGTACTAAGATTATATGTGCATTCAACTTTGCTTTTATTTTAAGAGACAATACAACAGTGGTGGCTTTAAGACTTTGTAACCAGGAACCACACTGAGAACTGTTTCCACTGTGACTTTATGTTTCAGTGAAAAAACCAAGTTTTCATAAACTCACTCTGGGATTGATCTGTCCATTTTTTAAAAAAATGCTATTTGTGTACACACATGGTGCATGGACATATGTGTAGGCAAACATATAAAATAAAAATCTTTTTTTTAAGGTTAAAAATGCAGCCAGGAGGTGGTGGCACACACCTTTAACCCCAGAACTCAGGAGGCAGAAGCAGGTAGAGCTCTGAATTTGAGGCCAGCCTGGTCTACAGAGTGAGTTCCAGGACATCCAGGGCTATACAGAGAAACCCTGTCTCAAAAAACAACAAACAAAAACCCAAAAGGCTACAAATGCCATTTATAATCCATTAAAACGTTGGTAAGATCCACTAGTAACTAGTGAGTTGTAGCCAGAAGTCCAAGAACACTTACTGAAGCTTAAAGTCTGCTCATCCCAGCTATGACAGCCAATTTGTACTTTCCCACTTGGGTCAGGACAAGACTCTTCACTAAGAAAATAAGCAAGTACTCCCTCTTAGGTCTTTTTTGTCTTGAAAGCCAGATGTAAAACATTTACCATCATGTGGCTGACTACCAAGATGTCTGTGGAGTCCAGAGCGTCACCTTGGATGTCAGTTCTCCAGAGACATCCACCTTGCTTTTTGAGACAAGGTGTCTCGTCAGGACCTGGAGCTTTTGGATTTGGCTAGACTGTCTGGCCTGCACCCCGTGAGAGATCCTGCTGTCTCTGCCAGTGATGGGATTACAAGCACACACCACCACACCTGGCTTTTTATATGGATATTAAGGTCACGAAGGCCCTCATGTGTGACAGGCGCTTTACTGACACCTGTCTCCCTGGCTCAAAATTCTTTCGCTTTGACCAGATGTCTCCCATACTTGTGTAGTATCACCCAGGAGCACTGAACCTCTTCTCCCGCCAACCAGGCCTCTGTTCAGACTCACAAAGCTTACCTCTTATGTTCTACAGGTTTCATGGCCCATGCCTTAGTGTTTCAGCTGAGAGAAGCAAGCTTCTAGAACTGGTTATATCATAAGATAATAGAATCTTAGGGATGGGAGAGATCTTATGAAAAGTGTAAATTAAAGTCGCACCTCCTGAAGGATGGCACATTGTCCTATTTCTTAAAGTATTTCCCCCTGAGTATCTTCAAGGCTACACCATGCTAGTACTACAAAATACTGAAGTGTTTGATGTGGGAAAATGTGCTGAAATTGTATAAATTTAAAAGCCAAACAACAAGATACTATAAAAGAATATAAAGATTTCTATTCTCTGTACAGTAGTGTATATACATATATATAAAGAGAGACCCAAGATGGGTGCTCCCTAGAGGTAGGATAGTACAAAAAATGGACTTTTCTGGAGCTTAAAGTTTCTCAGAGTCAGGCTGTTGTTACACATACATTCATTTATTCCTGCTAGGTTACTGAGGTTCATTAAAAGGATTCCCTCAGCAACCCAGTACTGAATTAGACCTGGTCAGACAATCTACTTCTAGCTTGTGTTTATACAGCTCATTGTAGTGATGAATGAGACACTAATAATAAATTCAGTGGTAGGTTCAAGCAGATCAGAGCTCAATGTGATTTTTCAAACACAACAGTATTTTTATTTTATATTTATCTTTGTGTGTGCATGCATGCACGCGGGCACGCATACTCACACACGCGCGGACACGCACGTGCACATGGGTGTGGATAACCTTCGAGGCCAGAAGAGGGCACCAGATCCCCTGGAGCTGAAATTACAAGTGTTTCCAAGCCCATTAAATGTAGATACTGGAAACCAAACTCTGGTTCTCTGTGAGAGCAAGAAACATTCTTAACCACTGAACAATCTCTCCAAATGCCCCTAAGACCTCTTTTTAAAACCTCATAAGTTGGCCAGGCGTTTGGTGGTGCACGCCTTTAATCCCAGCACTTAGGAGGCAGAGGCAGGCAGATCTCTGTGAGTTCGAGGCCAGCCTGATCTCTAAGAGCTAGTTCCAGGACAGCCTCCAAAGCCACAGAGAAACCCTGTCTCGAAAACAAAATAACCAAACAACAGACGTGAGAGGGAAGCTGAAGTGTAGCTGAAGTTAATGGCTTATGGTGGGAGTGGGGTCGGGGAAGGACTCAGTCCCCCTTAGGAGAAGTTTGACCATTGTGGTGGTTTGAAAGAAAACGGCCCCCAAAGGGGGTGGCACTATTGGGAGATGTGTCTTGTTAAAGGAAGGGCTGCATGTGAGATTTACTTAAATCCCAGTAGATGACTAAGTGGGTAAAGGCTCTTGCTGCCAAGCCTGCTGACCTGCCTTCAATTCCTGGGACCCACGTGGAAGAGGGAGAGAACCTACTCCTGCAAGTTGCCTACCTCTGACTGCCAGAGTACACACGCCATAGACACTAAACAAATAGATAACAAATAAATAAATGACTGGGCAGATGACCCAGCAGTTAAGAGCACTGACAGCTTTTCTAGAGGACCTGACTTTAATTCCCAACACCCACGTGGCAGCACACAACTGTCTGTAAC